ATATATATATATATATTTATATATATATATATATATACATACATATAATATATGATCAGATGCCTTTCTTTACATTTGTGAAAAAGGGTATCATATCTCTTTCTGACATTATTAAATTATGAGCTGTGTGAAATATGGGCAGATATCACACAGTGCTTTGAAAATATATCACTTACAGAGCATTATTCACAATATGCCCCTTGCCTGTACAGTGCCTTTCCTATTCGCTCTGAAATCTCAGTCAAGAGCTCAGCATGCTCAGGTTTCAGCAACAAAAATGAGCTCTTCTAGCATTCCCACCCCCATCTTTGTACAGCTCTCCCCCTCCCACCTCTGGCTGTCTCTCCCAGAGACTCTTGTTTATTCCTCCCCTCAGGCTGTAAGATTGGAGCCTGGGCCTGCCATGAAAGAGCGCACACAAAACAAGAGAAGATTAAAGGACAGAGAGATATAAGGAGTGCATCTGACCAAACCATCTGTGCTACTCAAAACCATTTTTTTTACCCTACACTTACATGCAGAGGTGTAAGAACCGCAGTGCAGGCAACCACATATATAGGAAGCAGCAACATAAGTACAAACTATGAGGGTTTATTTATGGATTCAGACATAGAGGCTGCAAAGTATACAATGAGTTCAGCGAGAACAAACTAGAAGTACAATTGCCCCGCATAGAACCTTTTGACAAATACCACAAAACCAACTTAAAATCCAGTGTAGCTCTTCCCCCAGTTTAGATGCAATCTACTGGAATGGATGAATAACAAATACTGCAGATTTATGCAGTTGTATTTAGGGAGGGAGAAATGATATTTCTAATACAAATTTATGAGCTTGACTGAGCTGAACGGAAAATGCAAATGGCATACTTCTGGAAGGACACAATCTAGCTAATGCATATTCTTCAAAATCTGCATTTAACATTTTTTTGGCTTATAGAAAATAATATGGAATTCACTGTTGAGATCATTTATCACTTGAACGAGTTGTGTTCAACCAAGTCTCATATATAGTTGTGGTCAGAATTATTAGCAAAGAAGACTGAAAGATGGCTGTGAAAATAAATCTGCATTGCTTAACCTTTTGAAAGGTCAAAAAATTCACAAAAATCTATTTAAGTAAAACAATTGAAAGTGGGGGATCACATTATGAAATAAACATTTTTCTCCAATACACGTTGGCCACAATTATTATTACTCCTAGAAATTCTTATGAGTAAAATATTTCTTAAGTATATTCCCATTTATATTCCCATTTTTAGAACACCAGCATGAAATTGTCCAGCCGACTTCCTGTTTCACATGAGTATAAATATCAAGTAATACGAAGTCCAAATTCCCCTAATCATCCATCACAATGAGAAAAACCAAAAATGATTTGGGGAAAAACAAGATGGGTTTAAAGAGAAACACAGAGATAAAAGTACCCATTGCCAACAGTTAAATATACTGCTGGATCTTTAATGTTGCGGGCCTATTTTCTGCTGGAGGTCCTGGAAATCTTGTTTAGACACATGGCATCATGGATTCTATCAAATATCAACAGATAAAAAATCAAAACCTGACTGCCTCTGTTAGAAATCTTACAATGGGCCGTGGTTGGATCTTCATTCAGGACAATGATCCAAAATAAAAATAAAAATCAACACAAAAATGGGTCACTGAGCACAAAACTAAGTTTCTGCCATGGCCATACCAGTCCCCTGACCTGAACCCTATAGAAAATGAGTGGGGTGAACTAAAGGAATGGTCTCTGATCTCTTGTCAGCTGTTCTCCAAACTCATCAGGAATTATAGGTGAAGACTCAGAGCTGTAACCTTGGCAAATGGAGATTGCAAAAAGTATTGAATAAAAGGGGGCCAATAATTGTGGCCAACGTGTATTGGAGAATAACATTTATTTCATGATGAGATTTCCCCCCATTTTCCAATTGTTTTGCTTCAATGACAGGTTAAATTTTTGTGATTTTTTTTTTTTTAAATGAACGATCAAAAGGATAAACAAATCAGATTTATTTTCACAGCCGAGTCAGGCTGGGGTTCCAATTATGTATATTTATATAATTCTGAGTGAGTTGCGGCCACAGTCACAGAGATTCTGTAAATAGAATTTAGAGCTATGAGGAACAGATTTTGGTTCTGATTAAGATGATCATGCAAAACTCATTACTTTGAACACACTGGACTGTTTACTCTGATACAAAGTAAAACAAATTAAAGAAATCCAGTCCGAAGCCAGGGTTATATTCCATGCAGATATTTTGACCCGGGTAGGCTACACAACACTGCATTAAGAATCCTTCCATTACTTTTCACATACATTATCAGGTCTAGACATAAGCTCCAGAGCCTCAATTTATATTATAGGCATGGCAATCATGACAGAGCACCAAACAAACTCCACTATGCTTTTTATCATAAGTAAAGCCACGATTCAACAGCCTCCCCTGGTGGATGCAACGAATCATTTGTAACGAGAATGATCTAGATGCGCATTGAGCCTTTAGAAGTCCGATGCATTTTAGCGAATCGGTTCACTCGGACAATTCACTGCAATAAGCTGATTCAAAACAGTGATTCACCGAGACACTAAACTCATCTATCAGCAACGTTTCCAGAAGTAAACAAATGTGAAATACTGCCTTTCTGTTTGTATAATTACATATGTCAAAAGTCTATTGTTTATAATTTCAACATGTCACAGCATAGTTTTGGAATAGTCCCAAACAGGGTCCTTACAGTCGACTCTAACAGACGAACGAATCATTAATAAGAATCTGTTTTTTTCTGGGCTAAAGTGATCGGAAATTACACTTTTATGTTAAATACGACATATTTCCACTTCATTCAACCCACTGACACCGATAAAACAGTCCAAAACATACAATTCGCGATGCGAGTATCCTCTAATGATTCATACTAGAAACTGAGTTTGGAATATAACATATGAAACTGTACCCTTAGAGCGCAGGCGCGGTGGCCAAGTGGTAAGGCGTCGGTCTCGTAAACCGAAGATCGCGGGTTCGAACCCCGTCCGTGCCTTTTAAGTCCATTACAGTCCAACATGGACTCATAATATATAGACTTGGTGAACAAAACAGGTTTACCACAATGTTGTACAGCCCCTTAACGTGTTCACGGTTTACCTCAAGAAGTTGGGAACGAAATAAACTGAGAAATGGGCATAATACGATTTGTTTATACCGGGGGTCATCAACTCAACAAACACACCTGAACCAGGTCTTCTAATCATTTTAAGATTTCGACCAGTTGTGTTGGGAGCAGGCTGGAACTTCCCAGGACAGTGGGTTACCAGAAGAGGAGTGTAAGATCATATCATATACATCATGAGAAATCTCACTTATAGGCAGTGAACGTTGTATGGTTGATTGGGTGCATTTGTTTACCTAAAAAACCCCAGTAGCCTAAAAATGTGTGCGATAATACCTCTATCATCTTGCAGCCCGTAGTACACTCGTTTTTGCATTTCCTTCTAAGATTTGTTGCCATCCCTACAGATACAGTTTTTTTTCCCAGATACAGTTACCGCGTACAAACCAAACACCCCGCAGCGCCATATCCGGATTGTTCCCGGATTTTGTTTTGCATGTTGAAATGTGGGAGTCTGAAACACTCATCATCAGTTTCCTATTTTTAATATATATATCAACTTATAATGTGGTGAAATTGTGTCTTAAACTGTGTGGGTCTGATGAGTATGTTAAATTTTATTTGTAAATGTTATATGCTAAGAAATGTTGCGTTATTCAGCAACCTGTGACACGTCAGACAAATTCAAATGCTGAATAAAATAAATCTATATTATAAAACGGTAAGTATGACTAATAAATCGTTAATACACATGGAATAATGTATCAGCAGCATCTTGTCTGAGGAAACCGGAAGGTTGTCTGTGTGTGACGTCACGGTATTTTCATCTTTCGCAAAAATCAACGTCCCAATCTCTGCAACAGAGGGCGACAGAGAGCAAAACATCAAACGCTGTAATCCTACGGGTTTGATTGCAGATTGATAAATCACGTTTTTACGTATTGAAAGACTCCACGTCTGACATCTCTGTGACGTTCAGCGCAGAACAAAAGCGATATAGAACTGCATATACGATTGCATCATTAATGTAATATAGGTCTTCCGTTCAACTACATCCCAGTCCAAAAAAAAAAAAAAAACTAGGTCTTCCGTTCAACTACATCCCCAGTGCAAAAAAAAAAAAAAAACCTGGATGGGTGCTATGACGAAAATGTATCTATTTAGCTGACAAAACAAGTAAACTCGGCCATAACGACTCGGGGGTTTCTAAGAACATCCCTTCCTAGTTTCTATATTTGGAAATGACTTCTAGGAAAACAGAAACTGCTCCATATCCAGTTCCACGAGTTTAACTTCGCTCCCTTTTAAAGCAAAAGAAAAGCATCGGGCAGCAGCAGGACGCTCGCATGTGAGCGATTCTACATAGGCTACTGCCTCCCATTGATGATCATTAATAGACTGGAGAATGTCGGCAAGGAATTTAGCGCACAATTGGCGTGTGTTGCTGAAAATGGCATCTCCTCCTGCACAGCCCCTGCTTACCTAGTAGCGTGACCATGAAGCAATGAACGAGCAGAGAGTCCTTAACATGCACAGAGTCAGTCTGCTGCTCTAGACGCTTGCTCATCTCACCAGCAGGAGCACGTATAGCGTGCTCTTAAAGAAACAAGATCTCATTCAAATCAGCCAGATGTTTCTTTCAATCCCACAGTGCTTCTTTATTCATTCGAGGTAAGTTTCAATCGGTATTACGTCGATATGCGTTTGTGCGTGTTTTCAATGGCAGGTGTGACCGAAATTGGGGCAGAATACTTATTCATTCCACTGATGGTGTCATAATAGACATTCTGCGAACCCTTACAATGGGAATTTGCGTTTGAATTTAACAGGGACGTATAGAGATGTGTCTTTTAAAGCAACAGCATGACATTTTAGGTGCATCTTGCTCCTTTTCGCGGATGTTGCTTCCCGACAGAGGCAGACAGATTGTGTCTGAGAGAGAGTACCTGAACTCTCTAGGGAGTCGAACACACTGTCTGGGACTCAACTGACGCCTAATTGTCTCCTAACAAAAGCCCGTAATAAGTCGGATAGCGTTTTAATAAAGCTTTCTAATGTCTTCCTCAAATCATACGCTTGAAAAGTTCATGTGATCGATTTTGTAGCCACTGTATTATGTTAATGCATATGTGTAACATTTTTCACTTGGAGCCATGGCTGAAGAAGGTCACTTGCTGTGATTTGTGATGAAATGTCTTAGAAACAAGTCTAAAAATGTCAAATTAATGAGCATGCATGGCATTTGCCATATTCAGTTCAGTCCGAGTTTACTTGTGTAGCACGTTTCACAGTACAAAGCAGCTTCACAGAAAATGCATATGTTTCAGTCTTACAATCAGGAAGTATTCTGTCATCAGTCCGAGATCAAAATAATGCCTATATGGCTATAAGATAATACAAGTTCTGTGCTTAGTTAAAAAAATATATAAATAAAATAAAATTTGGTTAATATTAGTCATATCAAGGAAATGCTCAGAGGCTGTTGTATATCAAATTATAGAGGAAATTAATGCTTAAGTCATAACTGTGGTAAATATATTTAGTCATATTATTATCTGTCAGTGTTTAAATATATATGCATTGTGATTTCAGTGACGGGACTTTGGGGGCAAGATGAGTTTTGATCTCAGTCCAACTGGCCCGCAAAGTCCCGCTTCTGGGACTCACTCTAACAGCGTGACAAGAGTACATAGTTAAACTTAAAGTAGTTCTTTCTCAAACAACTGTATCAGCAACAGGTACTGAATTTAATATGATTACATCATGTTGACATGTTTGTGCCCGATTGCGAGGCAAATGGTTTTATTGCGTAAAAGTTGTGCATAAACTTGTTCAATACACTATACCAAACTGTGGTAAATATATTTAGTCATATTATTATCTGTCAGTGTTTAAATATATATGCATTGTGATTTCAGTGACGGGACTTTGGGGGCAAGATGAGTTTTGATCTCAGTCCAACTGGCCCGCAAAGTCCCGCTTCTGGGACTCACTCTAACAGCGTGACAAGAGTACATAGTTAAACTTAAAGTAGTTCTTTCTCAAACAACTGTATCAGCAACAGGTACTTAATTTAATATGATTACATCATGTTGACATGTTTGTGGCCGATTGTGAGGCAAATGGTTTTATTGCGTAAAAGTTGTGCATAAACTTGTTCAATACACTGTACCACTTCTATAAGGGAGTTTCCGCAGCGATTGCATAAAAGAACAATTTTTGGTTTCCCCAAGAATCTTTCAGTGAACAATTCTTAAAAGAACCATTGATTTCTTAAGGCAAATAATATTTTAATAATCTAAAGAACCCTTTTCCAGTGCGTTGGAAAGGTTCCATGAACGTTAAAGGTTCTTCATGGGAACCAGTGTCACAAAATCAACACACTGTTGCAAAAGCATATGATCCGAATTTGCGCTAGAGTCTAAATGTAATGCCGCAGGGAGAATGAGGGGCTTTTGGGGGCACTTGTGTTTCAGTTTCACCATCATAATGCCCCTAAAAATCCTTATTGCTCTTGCACTGATCACCATTTATATTTTAGATATTTACATGCATATGTTATGAATGCGTAGTCTGCTCTTATTGCAGATTAATTTTGCTTTAGGCAAGCTAAAGGAGTTGTGTGTTCCAAGGACTGGCCGCCACAGCCTGCCTACACTTACGTATGTTACATTAAATGGACATTGCTAATACCACCAGTCCCATTCATTTGGGAATATAGCACATTATGTTTGGTGCTCAGTTATGTTGTGCTGCACCGAAGACAGCTCACTAAATGCATCTGCTGCATCAAGCGTTCTGTCATCCAGCTGATGGTGGAAACAATCTGGTTTCATTCTCAGTCTCCATTTTATGTCAGGCACAGTTTGATCTTCTTGCTGAAATATATAGAATGTGCCCGTCCCCTGAGGGCCGCTCAAACAGACAGAACAGACAAGCACCAAAGGAATTTCTACAGTCCGAGTAAATTCGCAGCTCCATGGAAATCATTTGTCTGTCGTTACAAAGAATGCTGGTCATAAATGGATAGGAGTTTGACACTCTACAGGGGCCATTCACGTCAATCATGATTTAATTATGAGACGCTGCCCAAAGCTATTGCTGACAAGAATGAATGAAGATTGGAGTATTATACACTGCTATGTGCTTTATGTAAACAATACAGGCATTTTTCTGACAAGGGGCAACAACAAAAGGAATGATCATTAAAAACAGCAGAAAAAGCCATAGAAACTTTCGTTAATGTGTCTTGGTGATCTTTTAGTGCACTCTAAAACATATCATGCCATGTTATTATAAGAACAAGGGGTCTATTGCTAGTTGAGGGAACAGGATGTGATTCCAAGAATGTGAAGAGCCTAATGCCACATGTTAGTAAGGGATAGTTTTGTTATGACTTGCCAAAGTGCAATACTTGAGATTATTGAGTAGTAAACTTTCACATACTCTGTGATTATTTTTAGTCATCTTTAATAGAATTAAATGGCCTATTGTTCATAATCACTATAGGAACAATACATTTGCAGGCATTTTGGCTTGCATTCTGGCTTTAAAATCTCGGGGCACTGGGCACAAGTCCTGCTGGAATTAGCTGTGGTGCTTTCTCTGTTCTGTGGCTCTGTTATGGCTCAACTCATGGTAATAGGAGAAGGGAGAGTTTCAGATGGGAAAGTAATTATTGACACCCCACACAGCCAACAGTTCATCCTTCCTCACTGAACTCACTTCACATGACAGAGTTGTGATGCCTGTACTGTAATAGATTTTAGTGACACATTTGCGTATGTTAATGTTTATTGATATTAATAGGAAAGCAAACCGTCTGAGCAACACGTGCTTTCCAGCCACTTTCAAAGAAAACTCTTTTAAATGAGATCTTAAAAACGCCAAACAAGTTCTCACTTAAAATATTTTGACTCTCTAAAGCGTAGTGTTGTATTTCTTGCTAAGTCACTTGCTTATTGTTCCTTTTGACGTCATTAAAGCCTCTGAATCAGTTTTAAAGAATGCACTGGAGAGCCATTTGTGCTGAGTTGGCAGTTCACATTAACAGTTTTACATGAAATGGTTTGTGTTGTCAAAAACCCCATGTAGAATCTTGCCCTGACAATCATTAAAGGAAGTTCACCCAAAAAAATGAAAATTTTGTAAAATGTACTCACTCTCATTCAAGATGTATTGTAGATGAGTTTGTATCTTCACTGAAACAGATTTAGAGAAATTGTATGTCATGTGCTCACCAATGGATCATCAGCAGTGAATGGGTGCCGTCAGAATGAGACTCCAAACAGCTGATAAAAACATCACAATAATCCACAAGTAATGTAAGTAATCCACAAGATGCATGTTTGTAATAAACAAATCTGCCATTAAGACGTTATTAACCTAAAACTGTTGCTTCCGGCTAAAATATGAGTCTTCTATCCTCACTGAACCCACTTCACATGACAGAGTTGTGATGCCTGTACTGTAATAGATTTTAGTGACAGATTTGCGTATGTTAATGTTTATTGATATTAATAGGAAAGCAAACAGTCTGAGCAACACGTGCTTTCCAGCCACTTTCAAAGAAAACTCTTTTAAATTAGATCTTAAAAACGCCAAACAAGTTCTCACTTAAAATATTTTGACTCTCTAAACAAGCATAGTGTTGTATTTCTTGCTAAGTCACTTGCTTATTGTTCCTTTTGACGTCATTAAAGCCTCTGAATCAGTTTTAAAGAATGCACTGGAGAGCCATTTGTGCTGAGTTGGCAGTTCACATTAACAGTTTTACATGAAATGGTTTGTGTTGTCAAAAAACCCATGTAGAATCTTGCCCTGACAAAAAGAGTCCTCATGCTCATTAAAGGAAGAGTTCACCCAAAAAAAAGAAAATTTAGTAAAATGTACTCACTCTCATTCAAGATGTATTGTAGATGAGTTTGTATCTTCACTGAAACAGATTTAGAGAAATTGTATGTCATGTGCTCACCAATGGATCATCAGCAGTGAATGGGTGCCGTCAGAATGAGACTCCAAACAGCTGATAAAAACATCACAATAATCCACAAGTAATGTAAGTAATCCACAAGATGCATGTTTGTAATAAACAAATCTGCCATTAAGACGTTATTAACCTAAAACTGTTGCTTCCGGCTAAAATATGAGTCTTCTATCCATTATATTGCTTTCTTCAGTGAAAAAGTCACCTCGTCTGAATCAAGAGAGAAATATGCACAGATCAAGCACTGTTTACAAGCCAAAACAGTATGTCAGTGGATTTTGATATGAGACATCAAAAGATGATGCCTAAAATTGATGTTTTAAAGTTTTAAAATATTTATTAAAGATGGGTTTGTTATTCTTACAAACAGCTTTTCACATGACATTTTTTAAGGACTGAAGTCATGTGGATTACTTGTGGATTATTGTGATGTTTTTATCAGCTATTTGGACTCTCATTCTGACGGCACCCATTCACTGCAGAGGATCTACTGGTGAGCAAGTGATGTAATGCTACATTTCTCCAAAACTCTTCTGATGTTTGGGCTTGTTTTATATATGTAAAATGTACTCACTCTCATTCAAGATGTATTGTAGATGAGTTTGTATCTTCACTGAAACAGATTTAGAGAAATTGTATGTCATGTGCTCACCAATGGATCATCAGCAGTGAATGGGTGCCGTCA